TCTCTGACCTTCCTCTGAGCTTACGTAGATATATGGAATGGAATATCTTTGGCCAATTTTGCTGTCTGTCTAACTCAGCCTCCTACGGGGGGGTCACAGATCTCCCCATAGTGTCTGAGCCGGCAGAGTGCAGGTGCAGCCTTGAAGCCTCAGTAGTTAGAAAAACATTCCACTGTCTTATCAGCCTAGCAGAGCACACTGTTGCTAGTTACAAGAAAACTTACTGAAGGAAAAAAAAATCAGCAAAAAGAAAAATTGGCTTCATCCTGGCTCAAACCAGGACACCTAGTCACTTAGGAGCAGAGATTTCAATATCTGTGCCCACCCTATGTTGCAGATAAGTCCCTAATGTTATTTATAAGATGATTATTTTGAACAATGGGATTTGTCTGGGTGGACAGAATGCCTTGTGTGCATTAAAGAAGTACCAAAATGACAATTCATTTTAATATGAAAAGCAGATCCTTTTTCTTTACTATTGTATACTAGAAGTAAATCATGTGTGTAAAGCATCCTGTATAACATCAGGTGTATGTGTTTTTATTTTTTACACTTTGAAACAGCTCCAGTTTAACAGAAGTGTTCCTACAGTTCCAGAGAACTTGGCTCTCAGGTTCTCTAACCCGCGTCCAATTATAATAGAAAAACTGAAGGCATCCAGTGATCAGAGAACTCTATCTGGAAGTGAGGACCCCAGCATAAGAAGCTCTGGCATGTTTTCAGTGGTATCTGAAGAGAGGCTAAAACTAGCTATTCAACTAGCCAAAAGGGACATAAAACGAAGACATCTTGAAGACCAAGTGAAACAGAAGGTGTTTGGAGATGCTGTCAAAAAAGTATTGTTGGTCCAGAAGTCACAGCAGCGGAAGACTGAGGCATTTGAAAGTCCAGAAAGTAAAGATGCACTGAAGTCTCCGACTTGCTTGAAATATCAGCAGAAACTTGGTCAGCCTTCCAAAGTGGAGACTACAACCTCTGGTGCTAAAGTTTATCTCTACACACCAACTAAGGGAAAGCTAATACCAGCTATTGTGGACTCACCACTCACCCATGACAGAGGAGCAGACCCCAAGCCAACTGTGAACAAAAAAGAAGATAAAAATATGCAGGAAGTCCGAAGGCTGCAAAAGGAATTGAGGAGCTATGTCCAGAAAATTGAAGAGCTGTCTAAGAAAGGTGTAAGACTGGACAAAAATTATGTTCCATAAACGCACAATAGTTTGTTAATTTGTTTTTCTTTCTGATTTTTGGCTTGGATCAGGATCCACATTTGGCATTGGATTTTTGAGAACCATCTATATTTTCAGAAGTAAATAACAGCTAGAATGTCTAGCCAGTTTAAGCAATAGCAGGTTTAATATCTCTGAGTGTTTATGGTGAGTTCCAGTCCAGCCTGCAATGATGGTAAATTAGTGGTAGGCCGTTTAAATAATGGGAGTGAAAAAATATTGGTGTCTGTTGGTCCATTGGCTAAATAATCAGACTGCAAAAACCAGTATCATTATTACCTACATTCTTATCAGTGATGGGAAAGAGGGCAACAGCTGGTAAAATTTCATTTCACAAGTCTGACCTAATTTATGGCTGTGTAGTAGCATGATTAATAGATATCCTGACACTGTTGTAGGCTAACACTGGTTGGCAGCAAAGCACCACACACTTGTGCTTATTCCCCTCCTGATGGGACAGGGAAGAAAAATTAAAAGCAAGAAAACTTAGGGGTTCAGATAAGGATAGCTGAGTAAGGGGAGGAAAGAGGAAGAAAGAAAAAAAGCAAAACCAGCAATGTAAAGGCAATTAGTCACTCCCTCCCACAAGTAGAACCAACGCCCAGCCATTTCTGTGAGAAACGGTTATCTTCCCTCCAAAAACCTCAGTTTTTATTGCTGAGCAGGGAATATCCCTTTGATCAGCTGGGGTCAGCTGTCCTGGCTCTGTCCCCTTCCAGTTTCTTACACACCCCCAGGTATACACTGGCATGGCATAGCTGAAAAAAGAGAAAGCCTTGGTGCTGTGCCAGTGCTGCTCAGCAATGGCCAGAGCTCTGGCATGTTGTCAGCACTGTTTCCATCATAAATCCAGAACAGAAAACCAACTGCATCTCAGCCAGACCTTGTCACACTTATTGGTTCTTTTGTAATAACTAGCTGGAGGTTTAACCATTCCTAAGTTTGAGTACTTCACATGTGACTTTGTCATAAAAATAAAGGGTCACTTGTGATTTTGTAAGCTGTAACTAATAAACTATATTGTGTAAGAATGTAAAATTCTAAATCAAAACATGATGTAGAGTTAAAATGCCTACCTTGTATTGCTGTTCAAGGAAGCCCTGCAAAATATGTGATGCATTCTGTAGTGCTTCTGCATGAAAGAGGCTTATTGCTAAATTACGTTTTGTTATCATAGCTTAACCAGGATTTTCATAAATTCAATTAAGACAAAACTTTACATTTCATGCTTTTTAGGGAGACAGAGGGAAATTTTAGATCCTGATGAAGAGCAACGAGTCTGTGCTAGGAGACAGAAACAAGCTGCACGGTCAGCTCGGGTGCTGTATGTGCTCCAGCAACAGGTGGGAACCAGTATTTTAAATTGAAAGTGTAGTAGCTAGTTCATTGTGATTAATTTGACAGAAGTGAAATGAAACAAGAAATTCTATAGGGTTATTTCTGGACTTCCTTGGCATTCTTGTTTAGATCTGAACAGTGTGGGTAATTTCTTTTACCATTAGACAGAGAGAAGAGCATTACCCTTGGAAAATTTGGACTTCCACTCAGATGTTACAGTGAAGACTGTTTGTTTTTAGACATGGAGCTAATTCTGACCAACTTTCCCCTCTTCCCTTCCTTTTTTTCATAAACAGGTAAAAGAAATACAGGATGACTTAGAGAAATTGAGTCCTCATAAAATCAAACATCCTAAAATGGTAAGATGTAGTTATCCTTCAGGCTCCGAGTAAGTTATTGATAGAAAGTTTTCCAGCTAATTGAAATTGATTGTCTGGGATACAGCAGAGCTCTCTCCAGAAGGGAGATTTTCTTTGTATCTTGCACCTGTTGTCTCGTTCTCACAGAATTGTGTGTCGCTTGGTCTAATGGTCGCTGCCTTTGCTGTTTTTAGTTCTTACCTGCCTACAGCAATCTAGAGTAGATGGTTGTTGGTCTTTTGCTTTTGTGTTTTACTTTTAATTCCTTCTTCATTCCACTTCTTTTTCTGAATAACACTTGTGTTTTACTCTTGACTGCTTTTTTTTAACTTCCTGTTGATGCCACTCAGTCTTACTCGCCTCCTTTCTGATTTTCTTTCTGCCCAGCATCTTTCATAAAGATAGTTCTGAGATCATACCTTCTGTTTGGCCAATATTGGCCCATTATTTTCTTGTGTATTTTTTCTGTAACAAAAACTGGAAGTTGGAGAATGCTCTATTTGTGGAATTGTTGCATGTTAGGGTCAAATCCATAACTACAATACTCTGTTGACATAGGTAGTAGAAACATCAGAATATGTTATAACCAAGCTGTTTTATCTGAAGCTAACATGATAATTGATCTGAGTACTGTTGTGTAGTACTTTTAGTAGATTACCTGTTTTTTCTTTGTCTCATAAATGACCTCATATCCATCAGAATTATCCCAAGCCTGAGTGGTTGTCCATGAAATTTTGGTGACAATTATTTGAATAGCATCAGAATTCATAGAGCCTAATAGCTATTAAAGCATTTATTTTTCATTTTTACAGTCTCTAGCAGTATCCAGATTGGCAGCAGCACACAGAGGAGCTGTACGAGCCTTGCAGGCATTTACCAATCAGTTTGCAGAACAAACAGAGCAGCAGATTCTTATTCACCACAAGCAATTGGCCAGTCTCATACGACAACTGTCCCTGTGTTCTGCCAAACTAGGAGTGAATTCTTCCCTTTCTGACATCGTCATAGATATTTTGCTGCAAGTTGAGGTAGGAAACAATGTTTTTGGCAAGGCAGAAAATATGTAGTGAAATATGTTACTGCAAACTATATTGTGTGCTCATGAAATGCCAGAATTTCTGAGAGAGTGATTAACATTCTGAATATTTGGTGCAGGTTATAGATTCACTGCTGGAAAAGAAACAAACACCCAAAAAAGTGAAGAAATGTATTTCATCATCTCAGGGCAAATCTCCAAGGAATACTGAGACATTTCCAGTCAGAAAGCAGCTTGCATCTCCAAACGGAGAAAACAAACGTCTCATCGTAAAGGGACAGCATGGACACAAACCTAGAAAACCTCCAACTGCCCAGAGTCTCTTGACTGGTTTGTATTTTGAATTATTCAGTTGGGTTTTTTTATCAGTTAACTTACCATCTGCAGTTTGATTTTGTTGTATGCTATGTATTGTTGGTCAAAAGTGTATATTGGATTCATATCTCCTTGCCATGCATTTTTTTCAGCTGTTCCTCCAGGATGATAGACCTGCAGATTATTATCCATTACAACTATATTATTATCATTGTGTTCTGGGTTTTGTCCATGGGCTACACTTGATTGTTTTTCTGTAGTGGAAAAATGGCAGTTTAAAAGTTTACATCAATGGTCCATACAGAATATTTCAAAATATATACTGAACATAGGTAATGCTGTATAAATATATTATTTAGGAATGCAAAGTTGCTGAATGTTAGCAAATCTCCCAACAAAGCTATTGTTGTTCAAATGTTTACAGTGAAAAGATCTACAGTAGCCTTGGCTTGGAATTTCCTTGGTTTGTGTAGTTCCTCTAAAGAGGAGCGGTTGTGTGTTATTCTTGCCAATTCATTACTGTTAATGTCTTTTGCACAGTAATCACAGTTTCAGTACCTAGAGACATGTTAATTGATTGTAAAGCTGAAGACTTGAGGGCCTTTTTCACTAATTTCACTAAAATTCACCATGCAACCTTTGGGAATTGGTTTACTATATTATTCTTTTACTTCATATAGGGAAGAAAACAGGCTTTATTTTTAAGGTATTGGGAGATAAATTTACCACCTGAAGTATTTTGACACCTCATGAAAGCCGTTGTTACGTTATTATATAGCCTATATTTTCATTTATATGTGTATTTTCAAATATCTAAACATGTATAAGTATATATATGCACATAAATGCCAAAATCTCCAGTTCATTGGAACAGTGCAAGAAAAACTATTAATACTTATCAGGAAGTATAAGAGTGGGGTTTTTTTGTTTGGGTTTTTTGTGGTCTGGGGGTTTGGTTTTGTTATGGTAGAGCTTAAAAGTTCGTGATTAGGTGTACCTAACAGAAGTATCAAATGTAGAAACAAAGATGATTCTAGCACCTTTCAACTTGCAGTTGGAAGTTTATTATTTTTGATACAGATAAACACTGATATATTGCAAATATTTCAGCAGTTCAGAAGGGAACCAGTTGTGCTCATATATTGCACACTAAATTCCGAGAAGAGAATGACCCACCTACTCCAGACAGAAATGCCACTTTACAAGGAAGCATAGATGCATTGGTGAGAGTTAGACCTGTAAAAAAAGTTCCCATCCTTGAAAGTGTCCCATTGAAGAAGAAAGGTGTGTCATTACCTGCAAAATCACAGGTAGGGAAGTGTTAAAAGAATTTGTTTTTTTCTTGTTGTCTGGGATTTGTTATATAATGTTAGAGACTGTCAAACTTTGCACTTCCTTACAATGTTTTTTTATTCTGAGCTAGGGTCTAATCCTAAAAGTGTCAAAAGAAGTTTTTTCCTCATGAAGAGCAGTGTAGGAAAAACTGAAACTGTTTGCAAAAATAATAGTTGCAGGATTAAGCCTGTGTTCTGTTCAGGCACAATTGTACTTCTCTTTTAGAGAAGGCCTCCATGTATGTCAACTGTGCAACAAAGCCAGCAGGCATGATTTCAAGACAAACTCTGAAACGCAATGCAAAATACTTGAAAATTCTACAACTGGAATCTAAGTTTTAATGTGATTGTGTTAATTTTAAGGGAATGCAGAAATCTCTCCAATCAAGACAAGTACATCCTAAAGGAAAGCATACCCGATTTCAAGAGACAAAGATGGCTTTCCAGCTAAGAGAGAACAAACGGCTGGTCAAGGACAGAAGAACCTGCCTTCCTCCAAGCCCAGTGTGTCCACGTGATCCACCTCAGCGGTACGTTCAGTCTAGTGGAACCTGTCTTTGCCCTGCCTAGTGGGAATGCGGCTCTGTCTGTACTAGTAAATGGGATGGATTTGGCCTGGCTGTCAGACCGTCAAGGCAAGTGTCACAGCACAGCTCGCCACCAGATGGTTGCGTTCCTTTCTCACTCATCACAAAGTGGTCTTACTCCTACAACCTGGGAACAACCGTTCCAAGTATTGTCTGGGAGTCACAGGCCACACTGTGCTAGGCAGAGCATTGACAAAACACACAGTATGCAGAATGGACACCCACTGCATTCAGGAGGTAAATATTATCTCCCTGTTCCAGAAGGACAAAATCTAGATCTTTGTCCTAGCTAGTAATAGTGCAGGTTTGTTTGTTTTAAACAGTGTTTAAGTAGACCAGGGCTACCCAAATTTAGTTTGCTTTGAGACTTCTGTTTGTGGCAGTTAAAGCAGAAGATCCAACTGCTGAGCCAGCTGCTTGATCTGTAGTAGGCAGTGTGCAGGATAAGATAAGGATCTCATCTGTCCAGGCACTATTTGTGTACAGCCATGAAGCTGCCTGTTTGCCACTAGCAGAAACATAATTGAGGATGCCTGGTTCTCAACAGAATTTCCTGGTTTATATGGTGTTAAAGTGAGTATTTATTTCCTCTGTGAAGTTTTTTGCAATTTCTGAACTGATACTCAGAATCACGTTTTCATTCTTCAGTGTTTTGAATGTGCATGTTATAACCCTCTATATTATTGTTGTATTTTTGAAGACTAGCAACTCTTGAAGCAGAAACTTCAAGAAGAGCAAAGGTTCTAACTGTCCTTAGCAGTAAAGAAATAAAAAAAATACAGAAGTTAAGGTAATTACTTATATTGAAGAGCTAATAAATGGTGTCAGATCTGGTATAGTCTTCTCCCCACTCCCACTAGTACCCCTAAAAGTACATATATGTGTTTAAGTTTTTAAAATTATTGTTGTCTTAGCAAGTTTCAGAATGGCATTGTAATTTGTTCTTTTTTGTGTAGGTCACAAAGTGCTTCTCCAACACAGTGTGCAGACAAATTTGAGAAGGATGCATGGGAGCCCCTGGAACCTCGTTTGGATATGACACAGGTAGTACAATCAGGCTCTTGCCACTGAAGCCCTTAAAACTATAAAACCTTTATAAAGGGGCAACACACAGTTTATTTTCAACTTAATGCAGCTGATATTTATGTAGTCAACACAGTTTTGGATATTTGGAGAGTACATTTCCATTTCAGTACGTGGGTCTTGAATTATTGCAATGAAGCTTGGCAAAGCTGCATTAAATTTTGTTCTTGTTGGCTTCTTGTTGAGTAGGTGAATTTTTAAGTTGTTTTTGAATGGTTATAAGAGTTCCACACTGAACATGACTAGTGTTGGTAAGATTATTTTAATAATTCTTAAAATACCATATTTAATTACTAAATAAATTTGGACTAGCAGTATTAATGGTTAATAATACAGAAAGATTGATTATAATGAGAGGATTTACACTATATTTAGAAGATCAGTCTCTCCTTGGAAACCAAGTGTCATTTGAAGGATTCTTCATTTCTAAACTACCTCAAACAGCTCTTTGACATTTAAGATCAATTTTTATCCTTGCCATATAGCAGAATGCATCTGGAAAAGTAGTACTGACTTTCCAAACTTAGCAATTTCACAGAATCACAGAATGATAAGCCACATCTTTGAAACAGCATCATTGCTTGGGCATGTGTGCCTTCTGAAGTACTGCTTTTTAACCGCTCACAATATGAGACAATGAGAGAGCTCTTTCTAACGTCATCTCTTTTGTGTATTTTCTGTTTGTTGTGACCTTTATGCATTAAGTTGCTTAGGGGGAAGAATGTTTTCATATGAAACAATACAAGTAAATTAATAGTGATATTGTGCCATAGCTAATTCGTAAAATTAGACACAACTGAAACATATCCTATATATTTACTCATTACCACTTGGAGCCACTGTGAGGCTGTTCCTGCATTGTAAGTTAAATGTGTGTGGAGTGTTTTGTAAGATGAGGGCCTTCACTTCACTTTCTTGAATTGCTAGGTGATCTCTGAACCTGTGACAGTTTCATCTCTTAAGTTGAGAATGCAGTTATGTAGCAAGCTTTTTCCGTATTTACTGATGTTAGTGGTAGGAACATAATAGGCTATTTTTATTGATTTGCCTTATTTTCTGGGTGGAAGGAAAATGGGAATTTATTTGGATTTTCCTTCAAGGGGAAAGTTGAAATGATGATGGGATTATTTCCAGGAGCTGCTGTAAGAAATGTTTGATTTGTAAGCATTATTTCCACTCAGTTGTTTTTGAGGTGTTGTTTGGTTTTTTTCTTGCATTGGCTGTGTTGTGGTTTTTTTCACTTGGTTTTGTTTTTTGTTTGTTTACTTTTTAAATAGCAGGTTGCAGCCAATGCAGATATTCTGAGTGAAAAACTATTGGATGATCTTTTGGAAGACACTGCTCAAGAGCTGTGGAGTATGGAGCAGCAGGAGAGACTCCAGACAGAGGCTGTGCCCATGGCTGACACTCATAGTCTGGAGACAATGTTGCAAAGAATGGAAGAAATTGAAGTAAGATTTTTCTCTCTTGGTTGGTCTCATTAGTGCCAATTTCTTGTTTACTGTCCATAAATTTTAATATCTGTAAGTATCCACATTCTTAAATAAAGCAAGGTCTGACTGGATCACCATATGAAATTAAAGACTTGGAAAGAGTTTGCACTTCAGCAAAAGGTATTGTAAGATTAAAAGAATGTTTACCCTAATGGTTTTACTGCTCGCTTTAGTTTGCCTTCCACCTCAACATTTGTGACTTAGACCATCATGTATGAGTGGGAGGATCATTAGAGCCATTATGTTGGTTGTCCCGTAGATTGGAAAGTATTTAGAATTATTTTTTTTGTTTTATTTTTTGGGGGGAGAGTGAGGTACAGGGTCCTAGCATTCTAGTAGCATGAGTATCTCAAGGAAATATGCTCAGGCAATCTCTAGGGTTTTACAGGGCAACATGAGGAAGTCAGACAACTACATTGCTTTCTGTGTCCATAGTTATCTGTCTTTCTATATAGATATTCATGAAGTTATAATTTACTTGACTTGAACTTTTTATACATTTCTTTCTTAAAAAAATTACTTTCATCAGCTTTTCCATATTTTTTGGCTCAAGTCCCATTTTGGCCTTCCTGTTAAGTGAAATTTATGAAAACTTGCATCTGCCAAATTTAGTGCCATTTGCTTCTAGAGACTGTGCAGTGCTCTTATCCATAGGAGACATTTAAGCATATGTTTGAATTCACTGTCAGTGAGGCAGGAACATCTTGGGGACCCTTCAGTTGTTTGACTAAGGGCTGTTGGTCTGAAATGGCAAGAGTTCCTATGGTGGTTGAGTCTTCAAGTATGACATTTTGAACAAAATTATTGTCTGTGATTTCACCCCCTCTACTCCTTTGCTATGTTAACTAGGCAAAATAAGCCTACTTTGACCAAGGAGGATCATGACCTGCTTTCCTGTTGGGTGGAAACTAGTGCAGCTGAACTGCTAAGTGTGTGTGCGTTGATTCATTTGTTGTGTTCAAAACTAGAGATACCAGGAGGCTGTACGCAGGAGATTCAGCCAGATCGTGTACAGTGATTCAGACTTTTGGGCCCAGGAAGACAAAATGGGTAAGTGTCTTTATAATGCAACTTGTTTTTCCTATAATCTATATCTTTAAATTCAGGTGTTTTGAAATCAAGGTGACTGGATTCTGTGTGATCACATAGCAGCAGCCAGACATATTTTCTTACTACAGTTGCTCCTTTCAGAGTACTGTTTCTAAAATACAGTTCTAAAATCAATATTCTAAAGAGTAAGGATCTCTTCTGAGAGCAGGCTGGCTTTTTCTCCTTGCCTTTATTGTGGCTGCATTTGGATGGAAAGCACTGTTGGTGCAATTTAGCTGAAGGATAGGAAACTTTAACATATACTTCAAATCATCTAATGTTAAGTTTGAATGTTGTCCCTTTTCTAGGAATTTGTCATTCCTTAGCTTTCTTTTTTATCAAATATATTTCCTGTCAAAATGTGAGTAATGATTATTGTGCAGTGAAGATGATAATCCTTAAGTACACACACTCCAGTTCATCTGTAAACTACTTGAATTTATTCCAAAAGACAGCTATTTTACTTTCTAAGCTTGAGGTATCCTAAAGCCACTTCAATATGTTCTTGTTCAGTACTGTCTTCAGTTTTGAAAAAGGCACAGGCACCTGCAGGAAATGTAGTTTTTCTCTTCCAAAGAAACAATTTTAAATGTTATTTTCTTCCTTCTAGAGCGACAGATTGCACCAGTAGCTGAAATACCTGCATCTCCTCATCCAATTCAGATAACCAAATTGATTGGACACACAGAGCCAGAAGTGAACATTTTATTTGAAAAACTTGTTGGTGACAAGTGAGTAAAATATTTGGCCATACTAAATGGTGGTGTTTATCAGCTGTGTGTCTTCATTATAGTGTTTCCATTACAGAAAACTATGGTTACTATTTGAAGAGATTTTATGATCTGCATCTGTCTGAATGATGTTTTTTTATCTCCAGTGATATTGATAAAAACAAAGAAGCAGAGGAGAAACTGCAGACTGGAAATTACATTCTGGAGCCCTGGACTTGGAATTCTCTACATAAAGAGCGCTGTATGTCTCTCACTGTGCCAAAGCATATGCTCCAGAACATCTTGGATTATAAAAGCAGATACAGCCATCACTTAAAGCTTATTTCCCATGAAGCAGTCGGCAGTTTCAACCCATGGCAGATTGCTGAGAGGTATATGAACTATCTTTGTGTTTCTGAAGTTAATGTATCAGCTGATTAACAGGTTTTTCCATTCTTACTCAGGAAAGGAGAGGGGAGGGAGCCATTTAAATTCCAAATAGAATGACAGCAGCAGTTGGCTGTTGGACTGTCTCTCTGCTGGTATTTGGAGTTCATGGATTTTTAAGGTAGTTGGACAAAATGAAAGGATATGGGAGCAGAATGTCCAGGAGGAGTTATTATCTTTTACATCTTTCTATGGTATTACTACAAAAAAATGTGTGTGAAATATAGGTTAACTTAACTTATTTTCAGAAGACTATCAGCAGGTAAATTGAAGGAAAACAAAATTAGTTGGTTTTGTTGTTATTTGTTTGGGTTTTTTCTGAGTGAAAAAGAAATAAAGTGCTGTAAATAACTATGAACATTTTAATCGTTATGTTGAAGGATTATGAAGTTGATGTTTCCTTGAAAAACAGTAGATATGTTTTAAAAAGAGACCACTGGTCTTAATGCAGGTTTCAGTGCTTCCTTTTCCACACATCTTCATGCTTCATGGAGTTCACTGTGGGAAGTGTGGCACAGGTGGCTTACCATCCCTTAGCACAAATAGAGATGAAGAAGCAGTAAGAAACTGTGTCTCTGCTGTTCACTTCCTGGCAAATAAAAATGGTACGGTTAGCTCAGTGTCTGCTAAGCAAGCAGGGCAATGAAATACCCTTGCACTGAAGCTTGATTAAGTGTTTTGATTGCTCAGTAACAGGTAGAGCAACTGAATTACATCACTGGTGCCATTTGTCTGATACATGTTTGAAATCAAAATACAAACGCATTCTCATCTCCAGCATCCTTCATTTACTTATTCTTACCACCAGAGGGCGTTATAAATATTTGTGTATAAAATAGTATCTCATAAGGTTTAAAAGAAACATTACCATGCTATGTTCAAAAGGTCTTAGAAAGACTAACTTTATGATATATTAGAAGGTATGCAAAACCGAAGAGAAATTTTCAAGAGGCCAGTTAACAATTGTGTTCTTACACTACAGCAGTTTTTACTTCTGTGACATTTGCTATGGTCCAGAGATCACTGAAAATGTAAATTTCTCACCTCACTTTTCCTTAAATTTTATTGCTCTCAGTAAGGCCTCATTCAATGGTAGCTAAGATCAGTGAGAAGCTTCCCATTTACTTCAGTGGCCTTTGGATGAGCACCATAGTATGGTAACTCTTATTATCAAAGCAAGATTAGTATCTAAGAGTTTGAAAAAAGGAAGCAACTGATTCTCAGCATTTTTAAGCCTGAAGTATGTTCTTTGCTATTAACAGGCTGAGGAAATAATTTCTGGATTGTATCCAACACATACCAGAACACATCAGATCTTTTCTTGGGCTAAGCAGTAGAAATAATGACAAAACATGAGTATTTGCCTTTTAAAGTCAGAGCATTGGTATCATTAGAATTTGAAATCTGAATTTCTGAACTGTTTCCTCTTCTTTATTTCCCTCTCTCACCTTCAGTCTTGCGGAGCAACTAACGGAAGAAGCCCTGTGTGATGTGGCAGCAGAGCTGCAGGATGTTTGTGAGGATTACGCAGAAGCTGTGTTTACATCAGAGTTTTTGCAGCCAGTGCAGTAAATGCTTTCACATCTGCCCTACCTTCAAATGCAAGATCAGCCTCAGTCTTAAGAGATTATGTCTTTTTTTTCTTTTTTTTTAAAGTCTAAGAGATTCTGTTCACCAAATGAATTATGTTCATCAAGGATTCATCTCAGGTTTTTATAAATCCATTATCATAATGTTTTCCTTTTCAGACTTTATAATACTACATTTGTCAGAACTTGCTTCTTTTAGCCAGTATTTCAATAGAATGAAGTAAACTGTTACAGGTAAAATTTATGGATTTTTATAGCAATACTAATCCATTTGTATACCTCTATTACTTCACTCATTTTTATGTGTGATCTTACTAGAGTAAAATACTGCAAGGAGGGCTGGGTTCAAGCAGTGTCATGGACTTAGCTGTACTATGCCTCAATTTTCTGCTTTAAAATGAAGAGAATCTTACTTACCTACCTCAGAAGGGAACTATGGGGTTTAGTTTATTCTTTTCAGTAAAATGCATTGAATATATCTAATAGTTGTGTTGGAAGAATGAAATGTTAGTGATGTTTCTAAATCTGAGATGGAACAGTTCAGACTAAAAGTTGTTTGATTTGTTCTTTTAGGCTTTCAGTATCATGTAAGAAAGACTGTTGTCTGACCACCATGCTTAGCATAGATCCTAGGAGTAATTCTTCTGAGGATGTGGCTATCCAAAGAGAGGATTCTTACAGCACAGCAATAAGTAGAATTAAACAGCATTGGATGTACTCATAGGTCAACAGTCTACTTGGACTCTTGCAATTAACTTCTGAATTTAATGCCTTTCTCTTTATTTCTGAATATCACTAGGACATTATGCACAGACAAATGAGACTTTTCAGTAGAAACATGTGATGGAAATTTTCTTTTTTCTTAAACTAGTCTAAAATACTATGATTTTATCAGCATTTACTAATCCAACCCCACATTCCTTACTCTTATGAATCCCATTGAAATCAAGAACAAAAAAGTAAATGAACAATTGGCATTTCTGCAATATTCAATTAACTTGTTTAGTTCAAGTAATCAATGCACTCCTTTGGATTATGTGTGGAGAGAGAGAAGAGTAATAATTATTTATGGTAGTATTCTAGGGAAATGCAAACTCAGCCCTTGAGTTAAGCCACAAACCAGTAAGACAGCCTGTTTCCTTTGATAATTTTCTCCAATAGTGTTCAACCTACAACAGAATATTTTTTAAACTTCTAAGATTATTTTTATTGCTTCTAATCAGACCATACATTTAACAATAATTTTGTTTTTCTTGAAACCTGGTTTACTGTTGTTTGTCTTGAAATTCACACAAAATGCAATGATGTAAATGTTACTGTTGATGTGTGACTTTCCTGACATGCGATTTTTGTGATTAAAAATGCTGTCTTTTTTATTTTCTTTCTAAGATTATAGAGATAAACCTACTTTTAAATGCAAAAGATCAATGCCATACTGTCTATGTATGTGTTTGTATGCCTGTTGAAAGTATTTTCAAGATATTTTATTTTTTAATAAACAACACTTGTTTCTTAGGACTTAACATACTTTTAATTTAAGATAACTTCCATCTGAACCCATTCAGAATAGTCAGCACCCAACATGCAAGGGAGTACCTGGTAACATTACAAGAGTCAGACTGCCATACACCTTGAAGAAACGTGATCATCTGTCAAGGTAAATATTCTTTCTGAAATCTCATGGTGCTGCGGGTGGAATCCTCTGACTGATGATGCCAACATGAATGTTTTTTCTGGATGAGAATTTTCTGGCATTTGGGTGCTTTCTTGAAGTGGAAATGTGCAGAGAGTTGAAGGCTTTTTAGGTAGGATCTCTGACTTCATAGAATCATTAAGGTTGGAAGGGACCTTAAAGATCATCAAGTTCCAACCCCCTGCCATGAGCAGGAAACCCTACCTCTAGACCAGGTTGCACAAAACCTCATCCAACCTGGCCTTAAAATCCACCAGGGATGGGACATCAACAGCCTCCCTGGGCAACCAATTCCAGTTCCTCACCACCCTTATAGTGAAGAATTTCCTTCTAATATCTAACCTAAATCTCCCCTCTCTCAGTTTAAAACCATTATCCCTTGTCTTATCACTATCTTCTCTGATGGAAAGCCCCTCCCCAGCTTTCCTATAGGCCCCTTTCAGGTACTGGAAGGCTGCTATAAGGTCTCCCTGGAGCCTTCTCTAGGCGGAACAGCCCAATTCTCTTAGCCTGTCTTTGTAACAGAAGTGCTCCAGGCCTTTGATCATGGTGGCCTTTCTCTGGACCCTTTCCAATATTGGCTGGTGACACAGGTCTATATCTTTCTTGTGCTGAGAGCCCCAGAACTGTACACAGTATTCCAGGTGGGGTCTCACCAGAGCAGACTAGAGGGGCAGAATCCCCTCCCTAGCCCTGCTGCCCACTTTTCTTTTGATGCAGCCCAGGTGCGAGAGCGCACTGGGGGCTTATGTCAAGCTTCTCATCAACTACCACCCCCAAGCCCTTCTCAGGACTGCTCTCCAGCCATTCTTCCCCCAGCCTGTATTTGTGCCTGGGGTTGTGCTGATCCAGGTGCAGAACTCTGCACTTGGCCTTGTTGAACTTCATGAGGTTGCCGCTAGCCCTTCTCTCCAGCCTGTCAAGGTCCCTCTGGATGGTGTCCTTTCCCTCTTGGATGTCAACCACACCACACGGCTTGGTGTCATCAGCAGATTTGCTGAGGATACACTCAATCTCACTGTCCATGTCTCCAACAAAGTTATTCAACAGCACTGGTCCCAATACTGACCCATGAGGAACACCACTCGTCACCTGCCTCCATTTGGACATTGAGCCATTGACCACAACTCTCTAGGTGTGGCCATCCAGCTAATCTGTCAAATCCATGCCTTGTCAGTTTGGAGACCAGGATGTCATGTGGGACAGTGTCAAACACCTTGCACAAATCCTGGTAGATGATGTCAGCTGCTCTTCCACCATCCACCATCGCTGTAGCCTTGTAGAAGGCCACCAGATTGGTCAGGCATGACTTCGTGAAGCCATGTTGGCTGTTACCAATTGCCTCTTTATTTTCCATGTGCCTTAGCAGACTTTCCAGGACGATCTGCTCCATGATCTTGCCAGGCACAGAGGTGAGACTGACTGGCCTGTAGTTCCCTGGCTCTTCCTTTTTCCCCTTTTTAAAAATAGGGGCTATGTTCCCTTTTTTCCAGTCAGTGGGAACCTCACCAGACTGCCATGACCTCTCAAATATGATGGACAGAGGCTTAGCAACTTCATCTGTCAGCTCCCTCAGGACCTGTGGGTGAATCCTATCAGGTCCCATAGATTTATGCACCTTCAGGTTCTTCAGATGGTTGCAAACCTGCTTTACAGCTACGATGGGGTTAGGTAGTTCATTCTCCAGTCCTTGCTCTTGCCATGCTCTTTAGTCTTTCCTGAGGAACTTCACTTAAGGATTTTGTAATGCATTATTTACACATGCAGGCTAGACAGTTTTGAAGTTTCTACCTTGAAAAATTTTGTAGGGCTTCATCTTAAAGTGACACTGCATGTCATTGTTCCTAAAGAGAACTTCTTCAGGCTAGCTAACGATTATACATGTGCATAATTCTTGTCTTAGTATGTTGATAGAGACTATATACAGGGCTGAAATGTGCAACCATATTACCAGTGCAGTTGTTAACTGTATATCTAATGAGCCATATTAACTGGCCATGCATTTATTTTAAGCACTGTCTTGCCTCTGAGTCAAGGGGTTGAGGGGTGACTGGAGATCCTCTGTGAAGGCCCTGAAGACAGGACCATGCATTTGCATTCTATAAGCAGCTCCTGCAGCTCCTGAAAACATGCATTCTACTCTGTAAATATTTAACTGTGGAAATTAAATTGGTGTGCTTCTGGAAGTGAGGTAGTTATGGCAACAGTGTTTGCTTTACCAGTGCTTTGGAGAGCTACTTTTTTCTGCTAATACTGGATGTAATTCAACATCCATTAATGTCTGTGTAAGAGCATAATTGAACTCCTTTCTTCTCTTTAGCTTCCTTTGTCTCTGGGCTATTCCTGAAGGCTTAACTTTCTGCACATCCTGCTTCTCTATGGACTACTTTTTTTCCACCAGGAAAAAAAGGTGGGATTATTTTACTGATTCACCAGCAATAGGAAAAAGGACTCTGTTAGTGATGTATATGTCAGTCAATTAACAGCTAAATAGAAGCTCTGCTTCAATATATCTGCTCAAGGTATGTCCTAGAAGAACATAATAGTTTTCAAGTATATTCTTCCTCAGAAGACCCCCCATTCTCTCTTGCAGAATGCTTAAAGGTGGCACTCATGTTTTAGGATGGTAGTCTGGTCCAGGAGAAGAGAAGCAGGTTGAAGGACAGTGGTTGCAACAAGTCATTGTCATCTGTTTCCTTATCCTTCACCTGTGTGTGTCTGGCTGTTGCCTGTTGCCTAACAGAGGTTACAACCTGTTGGTAAAAGGCCTGCCTTGCTTCACACAGCTCCTAGCACAGGAAGGGAAGTACATTGAGCTCCTAACTACTACTACAGTTTTAATGTGGAACATATTGGCTGGTAGAACCTGTCTTCTGAAATACCTCATTGTAAACAACTGAAATTATGTGAAAAATGAATATGAGAATGAAATGTTCTGATTTGCCAAGATTCTTTTGAACCTGCATAACTTTGAAAGCAATCTGAATTCAGGCATGAATGTAAAAATTGCTGACTTCAGAGCTAATTCATGAGTTACGTGAGTTATGTGTGTAAATCCAGCTGTTCAGATTCAAGCTCTAAAACACATACGGTGGCCCCACACTAGCAAGGTTGTAGTCAGTGCTTTCCTTTTGCCCCATTTCCCTGTTAGTATTTTTGGTCGAGCTGTGCCAGGTGCACCCACACAAAGTCTGGGTCACCCTGCCAGATGGGGCCATAGCTAAGAGTGGGCAGGTGCTGTGGCTGGTGTCCTAAGGGCCAAGATGAAGCAATCTTGTAGTGGCCACGAG